GTGTATGTATTTTCAAAAATGTTAGCTGGGTATTACAGTGCTGTGATGGTATTTAATTAGAGCCATATAAAATTAGGTAAGAAGTAATGACCAGCAGTCATGGCTATCTAAGAAGTATAATTTCATGGTGTTGTATAGATATCCCAGTGCACAACAGTTATGTCCTTTGAAACAGTTAAATTCTTGGGCTGTGAAAGCATAGCAGGTTTTAATAGGTGTATCACCTGGTAACCATGGGCATTATGAAATAGAAGGACCGGAAAAACTTTTAGAAGCAATGGAAAATCTGGCCAGCATGAGTAGTTTGTTTTAGAACTATGGAGAAATCTACTAACTATTGCTGCTATAGACCAGTTTGATTAGGAGGTGGGACAAGCTGTTCCTTTCATTACACCGAAACCACACTACACTTTGTATGAATTATTTGGCTGTCTGCAGCATGCAGATTAGAATGAGGGCTTTCTCAGTGCTTGCGACTGTTGCAGATTGCTGATTAGTAATTAGAGTACTGAATGAAGGAAATTAGGCCAGGACTGAATGGGAATGAGAAAGTCTTCATTTGGTAATACAGATGTTAGGAACAGATTGTCTTGAGCAGCTCGTTCAGTATAGGGACGTTGTACATATCCGTGGTGTTATTTGCTTCCCATGTGAGACTCAAGTCAAATGCCTTTGAGATGGTTTCCTCTCCTATGCCTAGTGATGTAGCTGTATGGTTATTAATTTAGTGAAATATCCTGTCTGCCAGGTGTGGGAACTAGCTGATTTTATTGTAATACCAGATCATTACTTAATTCATATGCAACTGAGCACAGCACATGGAAAGCATTATAAATCTATTTACAATGTGGCTGGTCTGATGATAACATTGCATTAAATTCCCAGGTGAGGCAATTTAAGCAATTGCTTTGCCATGTGCACACCATGGAAATTAAATTCTCCTATATGCTTTAGTAATAAACCAACCTCATTGTTATGTTTTTGCTTGTGGTAGGCCATAGAACCTACTGTATGTCCCATATAGAGTCATACAACAGGCAATACCAGAGATGACAATTTTTACTTGATTTAAGCTAAATTAATTCACATTGTTCCCAGTTTTGCAGTTTGTGCCCACAGACAAGACACATTGAGCTCAACTGGGAAATGTCTAGGTGTAGGTCGAATAGATCGCTTATTTCAAGCCAAATTCCTAGGCCAAACTGAACAAGTATCTCTGTTTGAACTTGGCTTTGAGAAAAGCAGCCAATCAGTACACAAGTATGAGGTTCATACCAACCAGAAACTCTTTACATCTGAAGTTCTTACTTTCATGAATGCAGACTCACTTTTGTCATTGTTTTACAGTAGTGAGAGAAAATTGGTACCTCCAACTGCTCTGGGGGAAAGAAATCTATTGTTAATTTGTCATATTTTTGTCATGTCTATTATTCTATAGGTTTTTTCAGCTGTGCTAGTTCATTTGAGGTATGAAGTATAAGTTGTAGAAAAAGTGGGTTTTACATAAGCACATAACTAAAGTGAGGACTGTCTTAAATGAGTGTGAGGGTGTGCATGTGTGTGAGTGTGCATACACGTGTTTGTTTGAAATACTGTCAGTTGAAGCTGTCCACCTTATGGTATAGGACAGAAATTGCAGTAGATTACAAAGCTCACAGACCTTCAGACTTTTCTCGAAGCCACACATAAGGCACCGGTAGACAGTGGTAACTGACAACCAAGACTGGAAATGTTGACAATTTCCTGATTTGCCTGCTTAGCTTATGTATAGCAGTCATTAACTATTTATAAAATGCATTATGAATTGGGTTCCTTCAAACTAGCTGAATGTGTGACATTTCCAGCTCAAATTCTCTTCCTTGCATTTGGCAAAAGTACAGATTTTATAGTCTCAATAATAAAGTAAAAATATTTTAGGTTTTATCAAGATATAATAAAGGTTTCAGCTCATTAACTTAGAATCTTCTAAACTAAAGTATTATGTAGGTACTTATTAATCCAGCAGGAGGTTTTAAAATTTCCACAAAAGATAACATGATTTATTGATGTTTTAGGAACAATTATTCTTAAAACAAACCGTTTGTCATTTAGAAGAATTTCATCTTTCTTTTTTCATTGTTGTTTCCAACCAGTGCAGTGATTTCAAAGACTGAATTATGGTTAATTACATGCAGTCCGCTTACTTTGAGTGTTAAGAAAGTAGGAGACAATACTGGTGCTGTACTTCCAAATATAATTCTTAATAAAGAACAGCCTAGATTGGTTTTATTTTTGGAAAATGGAACTCTGCTGCAGAGCTCCATTTTTGCATTATTGTGCTGTTCTTCTGGAGAGTTATTTCTAATATTTGCAGTGAAATCTCTTTTTGTTCTTTAAGTCAGTCATGCCAGCGACCACTTTGTCAGCATATCATTTGTTTAATTAAATCCAGAAAGCCTTCCACAACCAGCCTCCACTGCCGTGATGGTGAGGAGTCACTCTCATAGAGACCACCCTTCAGCTGTGGGTGTCCTCACCAAAACACTTGTAATTTCTTCTTCGTCTGAAGTATACTTAATCTAAATAAGAACATAATGTAATTGAACAATCTATGCCGATTTGTTGGTATTTTGGTGAAAAGGGGGGAAAACAAAAACAATCTCCATATGCTATTTTGCATCCTGTGGAATGTTTTAGTCCCCCATCGTGATGAAATGAATAATGCAAAAGGCATCTCTGATACCACGGCCTGTCTTAAAGGTTCTTGTTTCCTTTAATGCTGTAAAATACTTTTACTTAGCTGATTTGAGGCTGTGGATGGTGGGGATTTCCAAATGGACAAAGAGGTTTGGTGTGATGTAGTATTGTATTAAGACCGTGAAATAGGCTGACTTTGTAACTTAGCATTTGAAAATGCTGTTTTGTATGACGTCAGTAGAAATGGATATCCATAGCAGCTTCAGCAAGGTTAGGCATATTCTTTGTGGTGAGAAAATGTCTGGTGAGTTCACAAATGAATGGGTCGGACCACTCCTGAACTTTCAAGAGATCACATAGATGTCCTTACTGCCCACATAGCAAAGACTCATGTCTCTAATTTGTCCTTCTCCCTGCAGCACGACTGTTTATCTACTTATAGAGACCTATTACAGCCGCTAAGTTTTAAGGCAGATGTTGTAGCAGGAAAGGAGTGTTGAAGAGGGGATGCTGGGCAGGCAGGGGTGGGTGCCTCTGTCTCCTTTATACCGAATTATTCTATAGCTCTGTGGTGTTGGCCTGAGTCTCTCCAGAGGTGATAGTTTATAAGATAGAAGAAACTCTCAGCTGAGCACCAGGATTCTAGTCTCAGCTGAAGCAGAGTTACCTTTAGAATTCTATGACACTCTATCATTTTTCTAAAACAAATATCTGGGTGGCGTGCATGTTTATTTAGATTCCAGTAAGCCTTTTAAAACTGGGTTCTGCTAGATCCAGCATATCATTTGCTTAATTACATCCAGAAAAGCAGTAAACTAAATTATATGCAATAAGCCTGTTTCTCTTTTATGTGCCACCCTTGGGAGAATTGAGAAAATATTCAAAAAATGTTTTCTGTATTTTATGCTTCAGATAAGGCACCCACTTGAGAAAAGCTAGCTTTTTCAAATGATCTGAAACTCGGTGGTTGTTCTTGTCTGTAGTCCCTTTAAATAATGTGATTTTAAGGTATAATGAGCCAAGTGAGACCAAACAGCATTACTCACTCATTGACTACTGTAAAAAAAAAAAAAAATTTAAGGGTCTCTCTGTATAGCCTTGGCTGTTGTGGACTTGCTTTGTAGATCAGGCTCCAGGCTGGCCTCGAACTCCCAGAGTGCTGGGGTTACAGGTGTGTGCCACCACGCCCAGCTACTATCGTAAAAATCTAATTGAAATCTTACTGTTGCCTTCTGTTTATAGATTACAGGTCGTCCTTTGAAACAATAATACTTTTTTTTTCCAGATCATAGATGAACAAGTAAGAACTTAAAAAAAAAAAAAAAAAAGCCCAAGAAAGAGATGATGGCTTCCCACCCTCCATTTTTCTAAGTGATCATTTTTACTTAATTAGTTGAGAAGCAGAGAAGGCAACAGAATGACTTTTTACCCTGAAATAGTGAAATACAGTAGGGAATGGTAACCAGACTTGTTTCACAGCTAATTTTCAGAGCCTCCCAGCTTTGCAAAATGTGTGTAGATAATGCATGAGTAGCTTACAGCCATGTCCCTCTGGCTGTTCAGGTGTGTGTGTGTGTGGGGGGGTCCTTGCAAAACACAATTTTGTTGTAAAATGTTGACTCATAACCCACTGCCTTTAGTTGCTGGAACTGGGAAATTTATTTACCAGTGTCTGTCTGTCTGCTCCCCTTTTCCCCCTGCTCCCACTTCCCTCACCCATGTTACTTTTCCTTAGGCCATTATTTATAGAGAAGTTGGAGACATTTGAATTACTGCTAGCTAGGGGATGGCTTTATAATCCCTTCTCTTTCTGGATAGTTACATCACGGTGTTGAATATAGATGTGCTTGTCCAGGCATCTCTGTGTAGAGTTGCCAATATGGATATTATCCTTGAAGTAGGGAGTTTTAGAGCTCTAAATTGTACAGTGCCTTTCCTACTGAAGACTCATACATCTCTGTTTCAAAACTACGTAGTTATATGACTGTATTTCTTCCAATTTAGTGGTTGTATTCAAACAATATTTGGAAAAATAAATTAATTCTAATCTCCTTATGAAAAGTAATAGAACTTTAACACAAAACAGAAATTTCTTCCATTATTATTAGTTAGTTTTTTTTTTTTTTTTTTTTAAAGAAACTTCTAATTTCCACTAAACTCCTGTGTTCTGGAACTTTGACTTAGATTTGCACGTCTCTGCCGGTAGGTTTCCATTAGGGGGCTCCCGAGGGTTTGAGATGGTGTGCCTTGATCCCAGTAATGCAGGGCCACGTCTGCTCTCTAACGTTCATCTTGCTCTTTCCCTTTTTGTTTTTGTTTTATAGAAAAGGTCACGGATCGCCTACAGTGACGAAGTACGGAATGAGCTCCTAGGGGATGATGGGAATTCCTCCGAGAACCAGGTAGAATGCTAATAAGGAAGGCCCGGTGGGTGGCTGGAGGGTGAAGGAGGTCACAGGCACGCTGGGCTCTCAAGCTGCTCCCTAACAGTGTTAGCAGCAACTCATGTGGAAGCGATACTGTTTAATGCAAAGCTGGAGTCTTAATCAACTTCAAAATGTTTCTTGGAGATCTTACATTTAACCCTTTACCTTGTGATTGCTGTCTGCTATCTTTTAAAAAACTCTTTTCTTCTCTTTTCTTTATTATTTAGTACTTAAGGAATAACTTGAAACACACTGTTTGCAGACAAAGCCAAGGTCTTCACCTCAAACACATGTAAGAGGAATAAAAAAGTACATAATGCAGCTTTGATAGGAATGCTGCATAATTAAATCAACACTTGCAGCAAAACAAATGAAAGTAAGCTTTCAAAATTCAGCAGCACAGCCGTAACTCCTATTGTGTCACTTCTTAAAAATACATTCACCAAAATGCAGATGGCCAGCGCCAGTGTGGGACTTGTGCGGAATCCCATGCCGAGGGCCTGCCCTGCTTCTGCAGAACGACAGTGCTAACAATGGCAATAGGATAAGGCCTGCTTGCACCTTAAGATCTGCATACAGAAAAACAAAAACAACAACAACAACAACAAAAAACCAAAACAACAACAAACAGCTGATAGGATTTCTTCTTCAGAGGTTCTTATAACTTGTCTGCCATTCCTCATTGGATGGCACAGTCATGTCATGAGTCTAATTAGCATCCTACTACTGTCTTTGAATGAATGCTACAGACATCTAAGTTCACATAGGTAGGATATATACAACTTCTTAAAACAGTGTTTGAAGGCTGTTGGCATAGAACTGATTTTGAGATGGGGAGTGTCATCGGCAAGAAGTTAACGTGGTTACTAAGGTGGCTCTTCCAAGAGTTGCTTCTCCCTGGGTGAAGGCTGGACTTCCCATCTCCAGGAGTTTCTAGTCACTGCTGCTCAGGTGTGGGCGGCCAGAAACTGAACGCTGTAACTGGGGGGAGGCAGGTGTGGCAGAGCTACCTGTCCTGCCACCCAGGAAGTGGGAGAGGAGTCACCCAGCAGGCATTTGTTTTGTTCCCTCCCTCCCTCACTGTTGGCATCACAGCAGCCTGAGTTCAGAGACCACTCAGACTTAACTTGCAATTACAACTTCCCTGACTGAAATGTGAGAGCAGCTACAGGGGTGTGGCAGAACCGAAGCAAATGTTGTGAGGATTTTGTTTTTTTTCTCATAACAGACTAATGTGAGAATGAGAAGAAAATATTTTCTGCCTTTTTAAAGTGTGATTTGAATTGCTCATGTCTCTTGGTTGAATGAATCACAATTTTCTTTTCTAACTACTATAAAAATGCAATTATTATTATTATTTTTTTTGCAAATAATAACAAAGAGTGTAGCTCCCCTGTCAGTTCTTTTGAAAGCTGTAGATTTTCCTTCATCTGAAACTGATGCCTAATGGAGAAGGAACAGGAAGGAGGTGCTCCTGTCTAACCTGGGCTTCCGTATTGTAATGATGTAGCTCTCTGACAGGATCCTTCCCAACACTTGTTCACTTCTCTTAATGGACATTTTATGCGCCCAGAATATTAGCCTTACGTATATAGAAGTATGATTTTTATGCCTAAAGAAAAATATTCCACAAAAATAGATTTGAGCTCATACTTTCTGAATTTTTCAAATTACATTTCTGTCACTTTAAAGTGATTATGCAGAGATTTCCCCTGGACTTATATGAATCAAACTTACAAATTCTGAAAGCGCTTGGGGAACCTGAAGTTAGTTGTAAGGACCTGTCACTTCAATAAATACAGCATGGTGAATTACAGTCATGAGAATATGTAAACGGTAGATTATGACTCAGGTGAACTTTTTAGCCCAAAATTCGAATGAGGTGTGAAAGTTCAAAGAAACTATGTGAAGCGTTTTGGATAATTTGTTACCATGCAGAGCAGAATTTCTGTACCACAATGAAGTCATTACATTGTGTGTGGAGGCCCCTTGTCATCAGGTAGAAGTTTAAATGTCTCACCCAGAGCAAACCTTCAACCAGTGGCTTCAGATGTGATCACTTTAAAAATAACTTTTTGTTCTCTTATGAGTGTCATTCTGACTCAGCAATTAAAGCAGAGGGTCTCTCCACAGAAAAGGCTTAAAATGGGCTCTTCATATGCATTTTTATAGAGAAGGTAAGAAGGCAGGTGTTATGGGTGGGACTACCTGGAACTCATATAAGAAAAATCTCTGCTGCCCAGAAAGAAATTTGTGTTCATGCTGACTGTTCATGCATGGCTTCCAGGCCTTCTTGCCATATATTCATGATATACTTTTAATATACACATAAAGCTTGCCTATAAACAAAATTAGTCATAGTCACATAGCTTAAATTAGCATATATCTGTCAGTTAAATGTTCAGAGAGATAATAAGGGGAAAAACAAAACAGTTAGTAGCTATGACTGCAAATGTGTAAAGTGCTGACTTATTTCCAGCGCCTTGTGCACCTCCTGCATACAGGGGCTTCCTTGTGAAGGTTTGGACACGTGGGAATACAGTAGTAATTAGCTCTCTCTATGGTCAGGTGTTACACATGTACAACTGAGTGTTGATGCATGTAGCTACAATCTTCTAGCTGGCTGTCAATGGCAATAATGGAGGTATAGTTCTACTTCTTTCATGACTGGAAATGCTACTATTTCTACAATTAAGGATTATTCAAGTGTATTTTTAATGTCCTCAGTACAATATACATTTAATTGCCTTCTAAATAAACTTCTCCATACTTTTTTTTTGATTCACATCTATTCCATTCAATTAAATATATCTAATCCTAGTTTTACAAAAAAATATGGGGAGGGGGGCAAAGCAAAATTGGCTTTACACATGCTAAGGACCTGGTCCCTGGATTCTCAAGGACAAGTGTCCCAAGCATTTTCATCTGTCCTCCAGTATGCAGTGTTTAATTTCTTTTAGAGCTTAGCTATTAGATACAGTGATGCTGTATTTAGTTAGAGTGGAAAGCTTAATAGTTCTTAACTTGATTTCCTTTGATGAGAACCATTCTCAAAATAGACAAAAAACAGATTATAGAATAAAAGGCTTTTAGGATGGAGTGTGGCAATGGTGACAAATAAAACATTTAAAGTTCTTGTTTTGGACACTGATAGACTCTCTGTTGCCATATGAAAAATTATATTGATCCAGTGACTTTGAGAAAATCCTACATAGAAGATTCAAAAAAAAATTTATAAAGGATAGAATAGTTTCCAACATGAGGAAGTTTTTTTGGTAAAGCAATATTTAACAGATAATGATTGCTTAATTTTTTTAATACAAGGTTCTCTTAAGTTCCGATTTGGGCTTGCTGTGCGTAAAGTGTGTCAAACTTCAGCTACAGACCAGGGGGTGAAGTCGGTCAATTTAATTCCGCAAGATCTGAAGAAGGTCGGTATCATTTCATATAGCCCCGGCAGAGCAGATCATTACCAGGCACAAATCTGCTCGTTCGTGCTGGGAGTTTCTAGCAAAATAAATAGACTGTCATCATAAGTTCAGAAAATTGTGCGTTCGACCCACGATAATGTGTAAAGGGCGTTTAATAGAGTTCAGCATTTATTCGTTATCTGTATGCGGACAGAGACGGCAGTGGCGTTATCAGCTTTAAAAAAAAATTCGGGAGTTCTGGGAGTCACGTGACACACCCCACACACATACAGAGGCGCGCACACCCACCCTTGCTCGCATGCTCCACAGTGCAGTTTTGATTTTAGTCACAGCAGAAGGCTTAACCACAAGAGATTCCACTGGTTCAAACCAGCGTAAACCAGATTTTTTTCAGCCCACAAAAGAAGAGATTACCTCTTGTATCAAATTCTGCATTCCGGATGGGGTTGTGGGGAGAAATCTTTGTTTCAAAAAAGAGGTGGATTATCATAAGCCAACATGATGGTTTTGCACACTTTCATGGCACCTATGTTGGGGCTAGTAGCTCGATAACATGTCCAAATCGCTATTTTTAGTGGAGTCTAAGCATTGTTAATTTTCAAAAAGCAACCATCTTTGTTTACTTCAATGTGTAACTCTCTGCCTACCCTGCCCTCCCCACCCCCGCAAAAAAAAAAAAAAAAAAAAAAAAGAGATGAAGATTAGAAACCTCCCATTACCTAGCTTAGCTACAAATCCGGTGTGTTGCTTGAATGCAGCCATGCAGCACAAACAAGATAGAAGGTTTTTTCTTTCTTTCTTTCTTTCTTTCTTTTTTTTTTTTGGAACCCATTGAAAAAGCAAATGGGTAGCATTTTTAAACACTCTTACTTATGGCAGGGTGGCATGCCCCAATAGACTCTATTGCTGACGAGTAGTTTTAAACTTTGGCCCTTTAAGTATCATAGTCAACTGAAGAATGGTACCCTAGAAAGAAAAGAGCTGTGCGATCAATTCCCACATCCTCTTTCTCTGAGATTCAGTGTTTGCAGTTTTCTCCATAATGTTCAAGTGGCAAGAGAAAGATTCTAGTATGTGATAGGCTAGGTATATTAGAGAGAACAGATTTGTTCTAGAGAACAAATTTGTCATCTGGAGAACAGATTTGTCACTTTCCCTGTGAAAAGATGGGATACTACACTAGATGGTTGTGGGGAAGAGAATGAGTATATTTAAAACCAATAACTTTTTGTCTGGTTTGAAGGTACATTTAAGGTTTGACATTTAAATTTTGTTAAGTGCAAAGTGAGACACTATACAATAATTTCTAAATCTTTCTCTAAAGAGTTTGTAACAATTTGAATCCCCTTTTAGGTTTGAAGTACTTTCCTATAACAAATGAAGTAACAGAATAAGCTGAAATGCACACTTAACCACCTTGAATTTGATACTAAAACAGCAGTAGGTGTTGAGAATTTAGGGCTGTGGTAAACATGATACTTTTACAGAGAATTATGGTGAACCATTCATTGCACATTTCTCCAAAGTAATTGTTTAATTTATTGGCCTGCATGTCAGCTGTTGTAACAGATGTTAAAGCACTTGGATGTTTAAGAAGTATCAGTTGTAGTCCTGGATGGCTGAGGATGCAGATTTCAAACCTAGAACATAGCTTCTCATCCTGTCACAGGCTCCGTCTGTTGTGCTCGCTCTGAAGCTGTGGCATTCAGTTTAACAATGCAGGGAAGTTTGTGCTTTAGAATGATGTTAAACACATACCCAGAAAGGGGCCAGAATTATGATTTCAGAAATACTCAGATTCTAGGAGCTTGCTATGTCTGTTACAGTTATGGGAATAGGAAAAGGTAGGGATTAGAATGTTACCATAGGAGAACTTGGTAACAACTGAAAGAGTGGTTTTTGATTTGACTTTATTGAAAGCAGACCACAGTACAAACACAGTAAGAGGGCTCCTTTCTTTGATATGTCCTACTTTGTAAGATGAAGATAACTAGAAAAAGAAGAAACAAAAAGTCAAATAAAAACGCAACCAGTGAGGACTGTATCGTTAAAGAAAAAACACAAACCTTGACATTAACTCTTGTGATATGTACTTTATATGTGCTTTTGTTGATTCTCCGCTGAAATAATGTCATCCCAATGCAGTCTTATGACTACAGTGTGTGCAAGTGTGGGATTAAGCCAGGAAATAATAGTAGGTTATTTTTTGTTTTTATTTTAAATACTTACTGGAGCCAAAGTGTAAACTACTGATCATTTTCATTTTCTGGTAAAAACTGAAATCAGTTGTCAAGTCTTCGAATAGAGAAACATCCTAAGTCTTGTATATACAAAGCCTCTCTCAGGGTGCATTCTTAGAAGAGAGACGCAGTAAACTTGTTTTCTTTTTTTTTTTTTTTTATAATATAGACTTCTATGAAGCCGTTCCCCTTTATTTCATGATGGTTCTTAGATGTACTTTAAAAGAGAATTTCACACTATTCCCTTTGTTTAATGTGACAGTGAGAAAGTGATCTTTATTTGTTCAAAAACCTCTGCATGTAGTCTATGCTTAGGTTCTTTTAATGTGTTTGTCTGTGATTTTTAAATGCTAAACATGTAAACAGATGAATTGTCAATGTTAATTCTGTATCCTGTCACACAACTGATCTTTCTTTCCTGCCATTTCTTCCCTTTTTATCTTTTTTTTGTGTGCATTCATGTTGCAGTTGATAAAATTACGTGAAGAGGTAAGTATTTTCTAGCTTTCCCTTTTTTTTCCTCCTTAGCTGTACTGTTTTTTTTTTTAAATTTTATTTTCTAAATATGAAGTGGATCTTGTATTCATTTTTCCAGGGAAATGTACACTTGACAAAACAGTTGACTATTGCTTCAAAACTTTTCTCTTCTGCCCATTTTCTCAGAGCTGTTTTCTAGTTGTGCTTGTTGTAGGGATAGTGCTCTTTACTGACATTGACAGAAGGATAATATTTTAAAGCCAAAACAGGGAGAAATAGTGCTGGCATATCCTAAAACTATACAGAACATTGTTGTTTTGTGAGTACTTATTTTATTTGTGTTGGTTTCTCAGTGAAATTATTACAATTTTTCTGTGTATGTATAGTGTGATTCTGAGTTATTTTACTGTAAATTTCCCTACATACAGCCCCACATACAACCCCACATATAACCCTACATATAACACATATAACCCCTACATACAACCCCACACATAACCCCAGGGGCAAACACGTGCATCGTAAGTGCTCTTGCTGTGGTGCAGGGATATCTGAGAGCAGCAAATCCTGCGCCACTGTTGAGGACTTTCCTTTCTGGAGAAAATGGCCCCAAATAAGTTCTCCTTTTCCTGGGGTAGTTGTCAGGCCCGCTGTGCTGCGCCAGCCTCTTCAGTCTGATAAAGCTCTGTAAATATGCAGTGACTGTGGCCAAATGAGTCTGTCTGTTGTTTTCCAAGAAGGTCAAACACACCAAAAATGCTTTGATTCACTTATTCAGAGATAACTACATTTTTATTCAGTAACGTTGAATAAGAACATAAAATAGCAGACTGTCTGGCTACTAGAATAGCCCCTCACTCACAGCAGCCATGGTAGCTTGAGTCATGTCTGCATTTTGGTTGAACATACTGACCACAGCTTTCCTGGGTGATCTCTATCGTGGGCAGCTGCTCTGTGGGTGTTGACAATGTTGATTCCAAGGCTTGTGACCAGTGGTTTGAACAACTCTCCTGATTGAAATGTCTGAGTGATGTCCTAGCTCAGCAAGAGTGAGAACGGCATAAACGCTAAGGGAGGAAGCACACCAATGTCCTCTCACAGTTTGTGTTTTCCCTTTCCAACATGGAAGTCTATGTATATATGTATAGATGAAATAGCTAACTAGTGACAGTAGTGATTGCTCTGAGTGAGCGGCAACGTGAACATAAGCTTTCCTGGGAGGCGGCCTGTCTGTACTGTACGTTTCCTTTGCTGAGTAATTTGAATGTTAATATACTGATGAAGTGAAAAATAGATTTGAATGCAGTCATGCACACACACACACACACACACACACACACACACACACACGTACATACACGCCATGCATGCAAAGAAATGCCATAAAGCTTTTGTGTGATGGATAAAATTCCTGTGTATTATAACAACAAGGGTAGATTTGTTCTGCTGCGGTATAGGATCGAGGAAGTCATAATGCTAAATGCTGAAAATCATGTTCCTGTCTCTTTTGTAACATTGTTGCTTGGTAATTTCTCTTGTTTTTCTTTGTCGCCAGTTGTATCAGTTTCAGTGCTGAGGCTGATGTTTCTGAAACTGTACTATGATAGAATTATTGTCAGGAGAAGTAGATGATTTGGTGATGGAATGATAATCTCAGAAAGAGTACTGTCTGTGTCTTTGATTTGAGTATAGCACAAATATTTATGGATTACATGATACCCTTGAGCTTGCATGCAGGTGGCTCAGAAGGGCTCTTTTCCTCGCCAGGATTTGTTTCTTCTCATACAGTGAATGTTACCTCAGTTTTTTCCTTGTCCCTCTTTTAAGAAGACCAGCACCTATCTATCCAGGACACATTGTTTTGTTGTGTTTGGAAACTCAGTGTGCTGGTTCCTCCTCGTGGTGCTCTTTTCAGAGTATGCTTGGAGGCAGCGTTGTAGTGAGAGGGAGCTGATCTGGCGTTGGCTGTGCCGAGCTGCTGGAATCCTGCATCCTTGTCTTTCCACTTTTCACAGCTCCTCACACAAGCTGAGCTCCGTCTGAAGCTCCTGCACAGCTTTACTCACCTGCTTTGAAAAGGGCCAAGAAGAGGGTGAGAGAATGAGTTTGGGATGGAGTGTGGGGGCAAGTTGAAAGCCTCTGTGCCTCTGTCCTGCCTCTGCTTTCATTTCAAGGACCGGGCAGTGCACAGCAGAGGGAACAATGTAAACAGTGCAGCTGTCACAAGAACTTGATTTTAGCTTGACTTTAGTGAAGAAGTTTAAAAATATGAAGGGAAAGCCCGCTGGGAAGCCGCCCGGAAACTGATCGTCCTCTTGGGTGCAGTTTTTCTCTGAAAAAATGAAACACTCCAGAAGAAGCAGTTGCTTCCCTACTCAGTTCAGCCTGTGCAGTGTTTAATGTTCATTTAGACATTTTGCTTCCCAGCTTAGCTCTAGAATCCCCGAATTGTCTCATATCTAAATGCTTATTCTGCAGATGTTTAGCATGCTTTTACTTTTTCATCATAAATTAGCATAGAGGAAGATCCAAGTCCAGTATGGTGTGTGATTTTTTTTTTTTAAATCTCCATTAAGCTAAATGTCTTATTTGAATTTAGGATTTTTTATAACATGAAAATAAGGCACACATTTTCTTCATCTGGATTAAAATCCAGAGTTACTCTTGCTTTCTCAGATTGGATTGATATTTGTTTTTAGAGAACTAACCAGTTTGATGTCCTTTGTTTAGGTAGAAAACTGTATGTAGAGGAGAGAAAAGCAGTCTTTTCTCCCAGAACCTGAATGTGAGGAAAATCAGAAATAAAGATACAATTTTTGGCTAGCTTTACCAGTATTAAGTTTTATTTAGAAATAGTCATGCCAGGCACAGAGAGCACCATGGCTTTTCTTTTCCTCATGATTTTGCCGTTTTATGACATAAGAAGCTTTTTTATTCCCTTTCTTTATGTTGTTTATTTCATTTATTTTCCGGAAGGAGGGGCAATATTTCTCTTAATTTCTGCACTGTATATTAGACAACTCTATTAATTATTATAGACTGCTCTTGCCGCTTTCTGACCTTCACATCAGGTCCTTTCTCTCTGTTCTAAAAGCATTGTTTTAATGATTCCTCCACCCTTCCCCCAAAAAATTTTTCAAGGAAAGCTTTGATGTGGCTTTAGCTGCCTCTAACGTCTGGCCGCACCTCAGATGTGTCACCTCTGCCGGGAGGGAATAAGGAAATCACGTTTTGAATGGTAATGATAACATACTAATCACTTCCTTTCTTTGAAGATGGAAGCGAGATATTCTGTCAGCATCCCTGGCTGCTGGAGCTTGGAGGCACTGGTCTAGGTGTATTAGCTTAAGTGTGCATGTCAATACAGCTTGCATCTCCAAGATCCATGGGGGCTCATTAGAGCAACGTAGATCATTTCACTCGGCAGCCACTCACATAATGCATGTGGCACCTCCTTTTTTTATTATTATTGGAAAGCATTGCTTCAATTTTAAGTGACATCTGTCAACAACACAAAGTTGTAGAGTTATGGTTGCATTTTTTCTTTCTATTTGACCCAGACACTAAAATTGATCTGAAGGCAAAAGATACTAATTTATACAAATACACATATACATAAGCAGCCCTACCTCCAAATACACCAGCACACATATTCATATATTTCTAAGTATATAAATATACATACATGTGTATCACGTGTGTATACTGTTCGTTCATAGACGTGGATAGCATATGAATATATTTTGGTAACCTGAGTAGATCTACTGTGGGATCAAAAATGTAAGGTCTCCATGTAGAAAGGAAAGTTTAAAATATTAGAGAAGTTCTCTAATTTGCCCATAAGATTTAATATAAAAAATTATGTATAATTTATTTCAAAGAGTTGATTGTGATTTTAATTCACAGTCCAAAGACATATGTCCTAGCAGTTTATTTTAAACCTAGTGTCATATATTTGGGGATAAATACGCAGCTGTGCATATCTCTGAAAATTCCATGTGTCTCCTGTTTCTTGTTAGTTGTCCAGTGTCATCTTTGAGCGAGAACTGATGTTTAATATTCTGCTTCAGTAGCATTGTTGTTCTATGTGTCATCTTGCTACACATCCAAAATAAGAAAGCATTCTCTTAAAAATAAAAGGTTCCTATTTTAAAATTATGATCTGCAGAAATCAAAGGACTGAGTGGGTCTTGGAAATGAGTACATTTTATGAAACTAAGCACAGATAAGGCTCACAGCACCATGCGCCTCATGTGTTAACGCAAAGAAGAGCCAGCTGGCTTTGGTCTTCATGCATCTCTCAGTGGTGTGGAGAAAGACTTGCTGTGTCCACTCACAACACAGGGCTTCTTTAAACAAACTAACAAACAAATAAACAGAACCGCAAATAAGTGGATGGCCCATACATGCAAACCTATCTATTGTTGTGGTTCCTTTGATGAACTGTCTGCTAAAATTTACCTGTAATGGATTGTAAATCCCCCCCCCCCACCCATGTTAGGACATACAAAGGCATTATTTTTTAAAAAGGCAAAAAAGAACATTGTAGCCATCCACCTGACTCCCCCTTCCTTTCAGAGGGCACATCTGCTGGATAACACGGAGAGGCTGGAAAGGTCATCGCGGAGACTAGAGGCTGGATACCAGATAGCAGTGGAGACCGGTAAGAATTCTGAAAGTGAGCAAATTGTCTTGCTTATGCACAGCAGTCTTCACAACACATGACATTTCAGGGAAACTTCAAAGGAGCAGCAGAGACAGCAGCCCGAGATGAGGTTTACATATTGGGAGACAATTGGGAGCTTATTTGCGCTTATCTTTTTTCAAGTTAAAAGGCATGACATCTACTGAAAACCTTCCTGAGGTTTGAAAGTCTACATCTGAAAGCAGACGGGATACTTTGTCTAAATTCTGCATTTGTCTTAATGTGCAGTTACACGTTGTCAGTTTACCCACCCGCAATGATGGTGAGAGCGGCGTGCAGCCTCACTTGTCCGTGACTTGGGTGTTAGTCACATATGTGCAAATTAACATTTTAATCAGTCTCAGTGATAAGAACTGAGAACAAAGACATAATGATACTTAGTTTTCTTTGCTTCTTTCTCTCAGTGTTGGAAATGCCCCTTTTAATGATTATTTTATAACGGCCACACACAGAGCCTCTAACCAGGTATGAAAACACCTAAAAAACAACAACAAAGTTAATATTCGTGATTATCTTATTACCAGTGGCTTATAACAGTCAAACTTTTGGTTTGAATTGACAGTAGTCAAATTGCAAAGACCACCCTAATTTTTCTAAGACTAGTTTACTCATAATTACAGATCTTTTTTTGTGTGAATTGTTCATGCAATGAGTATTTTTAAACAGCAATCATCATTAATACCTTGGCATTTACTAGTTTCTTGTTTTTTTTAACCTACATTTTCTGTTTACTAAACTATAAATTATGATTAACAGAATTTTCCTGGGGGGAGGGAAACAAAACTTAATTTCATGTTACTAAAACATCTGTTTTTTTTTTTTTTTTAAGAGTGGGTATAATGAAAGTGTTTCCAAGTACTCTCTTTTGTGAATGGCCAGTGTGCTTGCCCTGACTTTATGGCTCTCCTGGATTGGTTGGTTTAGGTACTGCATTCCAAAGAACCAAATAAGGACATTTAATACTAATGAGGAAGCCAAAGAAGATCACCAGGGGCCCAGCTTTTACTGTGTGGGCCCCATACTTTTTATAGTGTGAGCTGCTGCTTTCCTGTAGTTTCTCACAGGCTGATTCTCTGCCCTGGTGGGGCTCCTTTGATTTGGGGCTTACACTCAGAGCAGACTCTTGGGAGGAACATGGAAAGTGGAAGGAGGCACAATCTAATCCTTACTCCCATTTCTGTGACTCCAAGTAAATCATCTCACTTCCCTGAATATGTTTATTCTTCATTAAGATAGAAGTAAATTACACATCTCAGAATACACATAATAGCATATTTATGTTAAAACATTTTATGTGCTATAAAATACAAATGTAAATGAATGTATTTTATTTTGTGGCTATTTCATGATATATAATTATCTTATGAAAAATATTTGTGTGTTTTTGTATATGTGTATGAAATTCGTATATTTTAACGGAATAGAAAGGGGGTGTACTATTTGTACAATTCTCAGCAAATGTGGCATTGTCTGCATTGAACTTTACATTCCTTAAAGAAGGGCCTTCCTTGATGAGCATCCATTGTTGAGACACCGTGGACTTGGCTTGGGCTTGAGTGTGGAGCTAGTTTTGCTATGTCAGTGATCCCCAGGATCTTGGATGACTAGGCCCTAGGTGGGTGTCTCAGACTCTACACTCTCGACGTGGTTCTTTCCCAAAGCTGAAGGAAGGATCATCACAAAGATGACCCACATGAGAAGACTGTGCAATGGTCAGGATTGTGAGACAGTATGGGAGTTGGTAATTTTTCCTTCTTGTGTACAAAAAGTATAGTGTTGAGAATGCAAGGATAGGCTATACAATACATTGTGTATAGGTCACATAAAACTGGGGAACTTCAGGCAGACTATAGAATTACATCTGAGAGGAACACAAATGAGAATTATGATGGACGCACCCAGCTTGTGCTTAGACAAGCCTCAACTTGCTAATTCCTTTACTTAGTTAAGTTTGAGCGTGGAGTGGGAAATGAGAAGAAACAACTTGTCTGTTCTACGATGCGCTGTGGCAGGTGTGATAACACTCATGTTTCCTGAGTCCCTACCAGCCTCACTGTAGTCACATCCATAGCTCATCATTTCATTATAGACAGTAGAAGAACAACGTTTGAAAAGGAATAGAACAGTTTTTCAGAGAGGGTCTCATATACCCCAGGCTGTCCTAAAACTCACTATTTAGCTAAGAATAGCCTTGACCTTAGGTTCCTCCTGCCTCTACTTCTTAAGGCTGCGGTTACCATGTGTGCCACCATAGGTGAGATTTGCTGCTTGAGACTGAACGCAAAGTTTTTGTGCACTAGACAAGCATTCTGACCAACTCAGGTCTTCCCCATTCTCTGCCCCAAACTTTAAAAACCAAGGCTCTCATGCATGGTAGCCAAAAATCCTCTACTACTGAGCTACATTCCTCACTTAGAGGAGGAGAAGCGCAACACTCATTGGTTTCAAAATGATGAAATTCAAGAAGGAGACTGTGTGTGGGAGAGCTGAGAGACTGTTAAGGCGGCACCTGGGAGGGAGTGCTTTTCAAGAACTGCTAGCCTGGAGTCAGCGCCACACTTGGAGGGGTTTTGAAAAAAATGAGCATATAATGGGTTTCCAAGAAGCAAATCTTATCAATTTAGAAATGACATTTCGTCTAAAATGGTAGTTCCTGTTATAAGGTCAGTTTAATGATGTGATAATAGCAGTAGGTAGAAGTTTTTATGTTTCTTTACATGAAAAATAACAAATGTGGCAACTTATTTGGGGCTTTTGGAAGTATTTTTCATTGTTTTTTATGTGTTTGAGTGTTTTCCCTGAATGTGTGTCTGTGCACTCAGTGAGGTATGCACTCTGTATGTTTTCATACTAGCAGATGGACACTTGACCCCAGATTCTTTCTATTCCATGGGATGTTAGGAAGTAAAGTAAGATCCTTTCTATATAAATGCACAGAAACAAGATAGCTATATACAATTTTACCAGTTTAATAGGTGGCTATCAGTTAAAATAATAGCATTCACGATAATTAGCAAAATCTTTAACAGAAAATATAACTTTTCTGTTCATGAACATTATGACAATAATTGATAATATCCTAAAAAAGTCCTAGGGCAGGGTGAGCTATATTAGGATGTGTGTTACCTTAATCACTAGTTGCTCCCTAACAAATTGTGAAATTCATGTGTGGAAATTCTTGCATAGCTGTGACATTTTGAAGTTGTCTCATGAATCTCGTGTCTTCGCAGGGAGTCACCTGGCAGAGAACACATGCCCATAGTGTGTGATTACTTTTAAGTGTTGTTTACACCTTGATGTGCATTGAGTTTAATACTCATCAGGCTGCTTCTGTGGCTCCCTTTCTGTGGAGAAAACTGACCAAGTTACCAGTTAATTAAATTTGATAAAGAAGGGACAGGTAAAGAGTGTATTATTGAGGAGCTGATGTGCTGTTGGCATAGTGCTTGCTTTATAAGCACTACTCAGTTCAAACCCTTAACCCATGTTAAAACAAACTAAGACAAAAACAGGTGTGGTATCACGTACTTTTAATTGGAGTGGTGGAGGCAGGTAGATCTATGGGGCTTGCTGGTCTGCCAGCTCAGCTTACTGACAAGCCAGTGAGAGACCTTGTCTGAAAAACAGTGTTGTGAGGAAGAGCATCCAAGATTATCTTCTGGCCTGTACACACACACACACACACACACACACACACACACACACACACACACAGCTGATGCTAGGTCATCCAGTGTGAGACTTGGCATCAAGAAAGACTGTTAGCGGACACACTCATATCCTTCTTTGGAAGCAGTCATCATGGGCTAGATATGATCCTGGCTGCATGAAGCATTGGGTAGATCCAGTTTGGTGTGACTTCTAAGTTCTCATCCAGAATCTTTGAAGAAAAAAATGACTCCTTTTCTTCTGTTACTAGTAGGTATGATTTCGAGCTGTTATGATGTCCATTTTGTTGATGGTCAGGACTTAAATGCTGGGTCATTTGCTCTTTGCTCTTAAGTTGTTATTCTTTTTATTCCCCTTCCAAGTAAATATTCCATAATCACAATCAGCACGAAATAAAAGAGAGTGAGAGAAAGCTACAGGAGGACAGAAGTGTAGCCCTCATATATAAACAGGCCGTTTAAGATCCCTTGATACCTCAGCCTGTTTTCTGCATGGACACAGGCCACTCTCAAAGCCTCCTGGAGCTGTAAGTGTCCGGTGCTTACACCTTAGATTGTGATGTATGGTATTTGCTGAACCTGTCTTAACCCACCTCAAAGCTCTCCCAGCCCTATGTGTCGACATGTTCTCTGAGGTTACTAAGACTGCCTAGGCTTGGCCTCTAATTTACTCATTCATCTCTTCACTAGATTATAGCCAAGAGGCAGAGAAGTAGTTTGTTTTTAGAAACAAGCTTCTGGGCCCACTAAGGTTCACTGCTAGAGTCAGATGGGCTTCAGTGTGCTCAGCCATGTTCCGAGCCTACATTAAAGTCCATGAGGTGACTGCTTCACAGTATCAGCATTTTCTATTTGCTTGAACTAGACAAAGCTTCACGGACTCTCATGTATATGCAACTTCACCAGAACTTAATTTTAAAAATTGGCAGGTAGCAGGCTGAAGAGATACTCAGTGGTTAAGAACACTGATCACTTCTGTAGTGGACCTGGTTTTGGTGCCCAGCCACCCACATGGTAGCTCACAGCCATCTGTAACTCCAGTTTCAGGGGCTCTGACACCCTCTTCTGACCTCCATGGGCACTATGCAAACATACAATGCACATACATGCATATAAAATGCTTATACACCTAAAATATATAAATGAAGAACTGGGCAAATAGCAATGATGAGCTACCATATACGTCCCTGTGGAATGATAAATGTCCCAGTATGTACTGATCTAACTTTGGTGTCTGACTTGACTAACTTGGAGGGCTCTCTTATTTAAAAACTGGAAGCTTTATGGCAT